GTTATTTCTCATAGTTTGTTGCAAAGCAAATGCACGTCATGGGTAATTAGACTCGACTGATTTATGCAAATAGAAAGGTATATTGTCGGACCATGTAATATTTATTGATTAGTAGAAATAAATATTACCGGTAAGAAGTTTTCTAATCCGTGGAATGTGGATTGGAGTTCCTGTTTTCTAGTTACAAAATTTTTGTCACATTTAAAATAATGTTATTGAAACCAGTTACACAGTGTGAATTAGAAAAAGTATTGAGTGTTTAAATCAAACGGTCAACGCTGCTTACTTGGACGTTAACCACGATCAATTTTATACTTAATTAGACAGTGGAATCGTCAACCTTTGTTGGCCGGTCAATGTCATTATCAATGTGATACTATTAATCCACAAAACAATTAGCGTCACAAAGTGTCAGTGTGCATACTACCATCCTAACTAAAAAGGCTGTAATTCAAAATTAAAAAAATGCCAATTGTATATACCAGGTTAGACCACAGCATTCACGCTGTCGTGTATATATTCTCCAATTGCCACCCAAATGCGAATTCAAAAAACGAAAACACCAAAAAAAGTTGAAGATTTAGATTTAGTTCCCAATCGCCGTGCCTATAAGCCAAACGGTGATACTAAATAAGCCATTTCTGTTACTAATGACACAATACTACCTCTGGACGACAAAGTCACAACAGCTGCTCTACAAGCCCATTACCGGTGCCAGCGACAATTCCCGCTTAAAGTTGTCCGTTGACGGCGGATGGAAGTTTCTTGTCGTTAGAAAAGCAATGAATGCCGATTAAAATAGCAGAATGCGTAATCCGGTTCCATTCATTGACTCAGTTAATGTTCTAAAATGATAATGTAAATAGCGTATATAGATAGAAATGATTCACTATTTTCTACAGATATTCTTGTTTCCTCACAAATGTGTTAACACGTAATAGATTTATTTATAGTTTTCACAGGGGAGATGATTGACCAGCTTCTTGGATCACTTACATATCATATCCAAATCGTCAATCATAAAATTGACAGCGGCGATAGATATATTGTTAACGAGCTGTCAAAGTTCTCCGTTCGTGACGAGATTCCACTTCTGAACCATGAATGCTTGGCGTTGAGATTTCATATGATTTACATACATATTTTATTTATCTATATATTAATACGTGAAGCAAAAACTTTGTATCCCTTTTTACGAAAATTGCGCGGACGGAGGAGTATGCAATTTTCCACACTTATAGAGAATATAGAGAAGAAGTGCACAATGCTAATATTTTTTTTAAATAATGCATGAAAGATACTTTAAATCAATAAAGAAAACATTACACACACTACATACCATGTATTTGACGCACACACGCATGCATACTATTTATTGTCAAACTTTTGTTCTTGACGTCTGTGGTCTAATTGAGAATAGGTTAAATATTGTTTGTCTTTGTTAATATTTTTTATAGTATAGTCTTGGCGAAATTTCTGATTATAGAAGTATAAAATACAATTATAATAGTGTACAAACTTACAATTCCAATTAATTATAGTCGAATTTCGACTACTGCGGGACCTCTAGTTAAATATTAATTGTCTAAAATTGTACTTTAATGTAATTAGCATAAGACAACATTTAATGCTTTGATTGGAAGTAAACCTCATATTAACAGTACTCAAGAAATGAAAGTAAGCAATTATGTACATTTGTTTTATTAAAACGTTTACGTTAAGTATGTTTTAAATAAAGAAATTAAAGGGAAAAAAATAGATTTAACGACTGAAACTATCTCTCACGAATATCTAAAGTAAGTGTGACTATTTGTAAAAACGCGAGATGTTCTATTGGGCAATAAAAACAAATTTGGTCAAACAAACGAGACATTTTATAAGAAATGTTTTTCTTTTTCGTCTTATAGTTCTTATAACTAGAGCAAATTATTGGTTGCCTATTCGTTGTATAACTAGTGAGTCATGGAACCATTTCGTACCTCCTTATGAAGCACTCGTCTGTTTTGTGGATCAAAGAACAAAAAAAATAATGAAATATTTCAAGTCGATTTACAAATATAAAAAAAACAAACCTTTGTACCATGACGTATATTGGTACAATTATTAAACATTAAGAAACATACTCTGTTGTTCCAGCATTATCTTTGCAATCTCTATATATAAAAATGAATTGCTGTTCGTTAGTCTCGCTAAAACTCGAGAACGGCTAAACCGATTTGGCTAATTTTGGTCTTGAATTATTTGTGGAAGTCCAGAGAAGGTTTAAAAGGTAGATAAATATGAAAATGCTCGGTATTAAATAAAAATAACAATTTTGTTTTTCCTTTGATGTGTCCCCCGTCGGTCTTTTATTTATCGATTGAGGCACTACGAAGTCTGCCGGGTCAGCTAGTCTAGAATAAAATAGATTAATACACACTTGCAATCTATCTTTTAAAAATCATAATCACCAACATTGCATCTCCGAGATTGTCTTTTACCAGCTACCCCAATAAAGCTACAAAAAAACTTATGCTTTTATCCGGCCGCGTTTTTGTCCGTCGGTAAATTTAATTATCAATTTCGATGCAGTCTACTGTGGACGTATTAGGTTACCTGTTTTTGCCCTTAATACAAGCCTCTGTGAAAAAGAATTTTGTTTTTATTTCATCAAATGACCCTCGCTTTGAAGAGTAGCAATAAATGTAAAAGTCAAATAAAATCCATTATAGAAATTTAAATAAATTACAGACTTATACATTTTATTAGTTTTTTGTTAAAATTGAAAAACCCAGACTAACGATAAGCACGCAGATTGTTAGAAACTTCGTAGTGCAACAAACTGTTGTTAAAAATCAAAAAATCAATAAACCTATTTGTCAACCTCAAGGTTGCTCGACGAGGCGTGAATTTCTAGTTCCATTATTATTTATAACGACTTCGGCGCGGTTTTGACTTCCTCCCAATAAGTGGATAATGATCGGTTATCTCGTTTTGTTCGGAGACCGCAATTGGTGCAGTTTTTTGTTGTCTTTCCGTTCCGTATCCATGGATAGATTGTAAGAAAATTTGAATCGATTACCGACCGGAGTGGACTTGTTTGATCGTGTGCTTGGTTTTTATGATACCTATAGCTCCCAGGGTGTTTCTGCACTGTCCAATTGGCTGGTCAGTTGAAGTACGTTCTTCCAAAATTTCTTGCTTTTTTTTTTGCCATGTGTCCATCCTTAAGTTATTAAACTAAGATGATTAGATTGCGACTTTATTTTGTGGAAAGCTAGAAACTTTCACGGTCACTATCAAATTTTGAATTTTTTTATTTTTTTTTATTGCTTAGATGGATGGACGAGCTCACAGCCCACCTGATGTTAAGTGGTCACTGGAGCCCATAGACATCTACAACGTAAATGCGCCACCCACCTTGAGATATGAGTTCTAAGGTCTCAGTATAGTTACAACGGCTGCCCCGCCCTTCGTACCGAATCGCATCACTGCTTCATGGCTGAAATAGGCAGGGTGGTGGTGCCTACCCGTGCAGACTCACAAGAGGTCTTACCGCCAGTTATAAACTGCCTTTTATGCCTTCAAAACAATTATAAAATCTCTTTTAGATCACTGTCAATTGACATAAGTTTTGAAGCTAATTGAAAATACCATATAAGTGTTATGGATTTTGATACCCAAGTATGTGTTTAAATATTACCAATTGTAGGACATGTGAACTATTAGATTTTTGACTTTTAACGACCTTTTTTTGATTATGTAACATATCCGTGTGACTATTCTGGTTGGCATGTAATATTATGATAGTGAAACTGTTATTTGATTTACGTTAACTTCCCGCTAATCTCGTTAACATCCATGCGACACAGTATTCGTACGTGTAAACATAGTCGTATGATTTATTCAGAGATTTGCTCGTAAATTCTGCGAGAGCGACTCGCCCTAGGGAACAGATGGCGTATCCGAGTTTTTTTTGGCCCGAAACTAAATTCTCACGTTTATTTTTCATACTCGTTTTGCTTCCGTGAACTTTTCGAAATGAACATTTTAAGGATACTAGAGGTCCCGCGCTAGTCGAAATTCGACTATAATTGGAATTGTAAATTTGTACACTATTATGATTGTATTTTATACTTCTATAATCACAAATTTCGCCAAGGCTACACTATAAAAAAATATTAATAAAGACAAACAATATTTAATCTATTCTCAATTTGATAACAGACGTCAAGAACAAAAGTTTGACAATAAATAGTATGCATGCGTGTGTGCGTCAAATACATGGTGTGTAGTGTGTGTGTAATGTTTTCTTTATTGATTTAACGTATCTTTTATGCATTATTTAAAAAAAATTAGCATTGTGCACTTCTTCTCTATATTCTCTATAAGTGTGGAACATTTCATACTCCTCCGTCCGCGCAATTTTCGTAAAAAGGGATACAAAATTTTTGCTTCACGTGTTAATATATAGATGCCTACGTATTGTGAAATTCAAGTATGATTTCGATTTTGAATTCCTAATTAGTTAATTGGTGTAAATCGCTTATTGATTCGCTTCACTTCTGTCTTCACAATATTATAATAAATAAACACAGTCTTCGTAAAAACTTAATGAAAATATAAAATTTAGGTGTTTGTTAATAATAACCAAATTGGGCAATTTCGTGAATAGGTTCGTTTTATGGAACTATTGACTCATTCAGATGACGGCGCCTAACTGTGACTAGTATGCTAATCAAATAAAAACCGCTACTACAAGTCTTCGATAATCACTGGGCTCGTCTCCGGAACGAGTTATTATATCGACCGCGTTCATTATTTCGAAGCTGGTTTTTTGTCGTTTCTGTGGTAGTGGTCATGCCGGAAACGTTACCTGTATTGATTGCATCCTTGTAAAACAATATTTTTTTTAACTCTTGATTAATACAACAGTGTTACTTCAATAAATACTTGAAAGCCTCATGTTGACTTTAAAAGTGATAATTATATAGATATTAATGTGTATTTTCTTGTTTCAGGTATTTTTTAAGATATGAACAAACAACAATAAGCATCAGAAATGCAGCTCCAACTAGTTTTAACATTGTGTGTAATTTTATTATGCGACGCAAAGCTGCCGCGGTTCAGACAGCTGATTCAACCCAACGAGCTACCAGCGAATCTCACGCAGAACTCGCAAACGTTAAGACATCGACAAACAGAATCGAAAAATGAGAAAACTAGTCGAATAGCCGATCAGTACAGACAGAGGCATCGGAGGGACGTGTTCGATTCAACTTCTTACGAATCGAGTTTGATATGGGCTCACTCCGAGAGATTAGATCAAAATGGCGACGTTGTCCTAAGATGGGTGTACTCGGATTCGAGTATAACGTTTAGGTTGGAGGCGAGAACTCTTGGTTACGTCGGCTTAGGATTTAATACTGTTGGGAACATGAGAGGCGCAGATTTGGTAGTCGGCTGGGTCGACGACAGGAATGGCAACGCTCAGATTGTGGTGAGTTTGATCAAGATTTTAAAACAGCTGTTCCTTTATTCTCACGGTCTTGGGTTGCTCGAAGTATGCTTTTTTTTTGTCCCAATCAAGTTTTGACTTTTTGAATTAAGAAACAAATTACTAATGATTCAGCAGCATTCAGCAGTCCACATATCGCACATACGGTGCGTCAGTCACTTATGCAATTTTTGTTAACACTGAACTGAGTATGAGAAAATACAATTTTTAATAGTTATTAGTAAGACGAGCGAGATTTTTGCTTTTACTGATGAAGTTTAAAGTTGTAGTGTAAATATTATCATTTTATTTCTATAGCCTAGCAGAACTATATAAGATGTTGAATATTCCAATGTTTCTCCTGAAAAATTACATAATTTGCATAAGTGATGTTATTGCATCGTATGTGCGAATATGTAACTCGATTACAACTAGAATTACAGAATACATTACCGGTTGTCGGTTTACAGATTTATACATAAATTCAGTCATTCGAGTATTAGGGTTAGTGCATAAGGTAATCTAGGTACGTACCTACTTGGTATCTTATAAGCTTAACAGATCTGTTAATGTAAACTTGAGTCACAACATCTACCTTGGAATTCTAAGAAATAAATAGGTACCTACATAGTCTTATTTGAACACGAATGATTCAGTGCACGTTTGATGTAAAAGAGATCGTATGAAAATACAAAAAAAAAAAAAAAAAATTAGGAGTACTTTTATAATTGACTCTTTCTCCTTGTAATTCAAGTGATGTGAATGTCGAATAGTACTTTTTCAATGGAAACAATAGTTTGCGGTTTTTGATCCCGCGTCAACGTCCGGTGAGCGAACCGTGTCGGTCATCACTATGTACGGCTTCGATTCGTCTATGGGAGGTCGGGGTTAGCGATGCACCTTGCGCCATGAGAAACTAGAAGAACCGCGTTAACAGAAATATTCACGTTTTCTTCGACGTAGACGGGGCAAAGCTGACGTGCGCTAACTTGGATACTAACGCTAATACTAGATAAGACAAGGCAATATCGGAGTTTTTTTTTATTGCTTAGCTGGGTGGACGAGCTCACAGCCCACCTGTTAAGTGGTTACTGGAGCCCATCGACATCATAAGTGGCGCCACCCACTTTGAGATATGAGTTCTAAGGTAGTTACAACGGCTTCCCCACCATTCAAACCGAGTCTTAATTGCATTGAAATAAAGGCTATCTTAGATAGGAACGTGTAGCTTTGCGGCAAAAATAGGATAAATACGATTTGCTTGGGCTTCGTAATACCGTCCCAGGCAGTATTTATATCTCAAAAATATCTTAAATCTCAAAAATAGACAAAATAATTTAAAGAACTCAATTAAAATGAAAAAATTAACCAACTTCAACTAATATCAATTTCCCTGTTTTCATTGAATTTTAATACAAATGTACCGAGGAAGACTTAAGAGATATCTCGATAGTAAATGAACGACAAGTTTCTTGTTCTTATCAAATGCTCCGGAACATAGCAATTAATGTGAATGAATGCATCCTGTGCTAAGAGAGACTTGAAATTACTGTGTTAAATAATTTTGAAGTTCTAAAACAGTGATTCTCAACCACTGTTCCGCGGCACTTTTGTTTGCCGCCAAATTTCAAAAGTGAGCCGTAAAATTTTGCGAATATATAATAATGTTAATATTATTAAATTATATCATTTTAAAAGAAAAATATTTTAAACATGAATATATCTTTAAATCCACAAAAAAAATGTATAGTATATTTTAGTTTATTTCGTATATTAAAATTTTTTGATAAACTATTTATGGAGTGTGTTGTAGTAAGTAAATAATTTTTATCTTTTTTTTCGTGTGCCGCCAAATTTTGAAATCGTTAAATATGTGCCGCAACAAAAAAAAGGTTGAGAATCACTGTTCTAAAACATATCCGATTAGAGCATGCATAAAAAAATACACTCTACGAAAGTAGTACCTACCGTTTATTTTTCTACGTCAATTGGTGTAAATATTCCTTTTTACAAAATTAAATATCTTACGCAATCGATGTTTTTTTTTTCGCAATTTTGTCCATTAAATGAATGTGCACTTAGCATTAACCGGGTCGGTAGCTCGTTTATTTACTTATAATGTAAACATTCTTTTTTATTGCTTTGATCGGTGGACGAACTTACGATCCACCTGCTGTTAAGTGGTTACCGGAGCCCAAGACATTGACAACGGAAGCCACCACTCACCTTGAAATGATGAGTTTTAAGTATCAGATTTTATAGCAGAACGTATTATTACTTCAAGGCAGAAATAGGTAGGGTTGTAATACACAAACATGCAGGATCACTAGACGCCCTACCGCCAATAAAGGTGATATTTCAATGTTAAATCTGGTGCTAGGACCTCTTGTGAGTCCGCACGGGTGGGTACCGCCACCCTGCTTGTTTCTGCCGTGAAGCAGTAATGCGTTTCGGTTTGAAGGGTAGGGCAGCCGTTGTAACTATACTGAGACCTTAGAATTTATATCTCAAGGTAGGTGGCGCTTTTACGATTGTAGATGTCTATGGGCTCCAGTAACCACTTAACACCAGGTGAGCTGTGAGCTCGTGCACCCATCTAAGCAATAAAAAAAATATACAAATAATGATGAAATAAAATTACTATCATTTGAATAACTCGTATTGTCATTAATGAACTATAATGAATGTAAAATTAATGTTATGAATAAATGAAACCAGAATACGCACATTATGTTAATTATTCGGAGTTTTGAGGTAGACGGCTTGTCTGTTCTAAACAATCACGAACCAAGTTGAATGAGTTCTGATGAATGATATGAGTCGACTATTATCAAAGCCGGCAATCTGACTTTTGAACAATGATTGGTAAATCAGAAAAACGAATTATTGACTTTGTATTCCATTGGCAGTCACAAAACTCTTCGGAACGACATCTTAGATAAATAACAGGTTAACTATTAACCTTTATTTAATGCAGGTTTTGAACCGTATTCTTTGAAGGAGACGATTATATTCAAATCAATCTGTATTGACATATCAATAATTTTTTTTTGTCCAAATGCACAGATTGCCACCTTTGATAATAGACGACTCATATGGCTGATTTAAATTTTCTACTTTATCCCGTATACTGACGGAGATTTGACCGAATGAACGTCGCTTCCTAATGCCCGTGCATCCTTTGCAAAATGTTTTCTTTAGCGTTTTCTACCTAAGCTGATGGCATTGAGAGATCATTTCAGCGTAGCCTTAACAAGTAGGTGAGCTCACGGGGCTCGAATCTGACGACGTTGCTAAAACAAACCCTAGAAAGAGCAGTGCTTCGCAAAATTTACCACCGGATCGGGAACGCGACCCACTGAGAAGATCCGGCGAGAAACTCGGTGGGCTGTATCTGTGGGACTTTAGCGTATTGTCGTGTGCTGGACTTTAATAAGCTAGAAGGTGAGACAAGTATTTGGAGGCAGTCGTGATTAACGTCGAATAACTATTATAATTATCGACCAATGATCAAAATTCGATTATAAACATTGACTGTTCTAGTTTTTTATTTACTCTTTTTATGATATTCTCTCTTTTGTTTTGTTATGTACATATATTAAAAAAAAAGGTGATCAGTTCCTAATATTATATATTGATGGCATCATCATCGCATTACACAGAAAATCGTATATAGGTAATAGTAAAAAAAGTATACATAAAGCAATTTATAGGTTTGTTATACATACCCGATCCTGTGCACCGAATGCTAAACAGTCGACGTTGCCCTAAACACGTTATTACGGATCCTCCCCATCCATTAACGGTGCTATTAGGTACCTCAAGCACCGGTTACCGTCCTCGTCGAACCCGTCGCTTGCGACGAAGGGCTCGACGAGAGAATTATTCTATACACATAGCCCACTGAATTTCTTGCCGGATCTTCTCAGTGGGTCGCGTTTCCTATCCGGTGGTAGATTCTGCGAAGCACTGCTCTTGCTAGGGCCAGTGTTAGCAACACTCCCGGTTTGAGCCCCGTGAGCTCACCTACACGTCAAGGAGAAGCTGAAATAGCCTCTCAAGTCTATCAGCATAAGTCTCTTCTAAAAACCCTCGAGAGGATTATCTGAATGATAATACAATTAAAATTGATGAGTGTAGAAGTGGTTAAAAGTTACAGAGAATAATATGCAATATGTGACAATTAACTAATGAAGACCGAATTATCTTACTAACAATAGTTTTGAGTCTAATCTGCGAACTAAAACATACCTTATAGTTTCTCTATGACTGAAGCTTTGTTTTCTGAGGGGCTTATTGTAACAACAATGAAACTAAAGATAAACAGTTACACGATGGATAAGCTACGCGTGGAAAACTTTATTGTCAACGAACAAAGGACTGTAATCTTCATACGTTAGGCATGTAAATAACATTCGAAACTAGGCTTTTGTGCCTTCGACACAAGGAATACTATTCAATGTAATAAAAAACACTGGAATATTATATACACATAGTAGCGCTTATTTGGAATGGCTTATATTAGTTATGAATTTTGTTTGTCGACTTTAATTCACTTTTAGGAGAGAGCTTACGAAGAATACTCCTATTCAAATATTTATGTAAAATACCGATGATATATCAATTTCAATATTACAAAAATGTATCGGAAATAGTTCATTCTTGAAAATGTATATAACAATACTTAAGACGCGATGATTGTTCGCTGCTTCTTCTTTCCTCAATATATGAATTTTCTGTTATAGTTATTTTTATAGAATATGTATCTATAATCTAAATTTCATTGTCAAAATCATATCACGTACCTTCATATTTAGAATGTGTATAAACGTAAAAAGCATGTTTCACTAACGAAATTAATAGTAATCTTATTATTATTCACGGCGAACTTATTGTAAGTACTTCATGAGTCACTGTTTAAAAAGTTGCTTTAGGGTTGCCCCTTATGGAAATAAGTCGTTTAAGGAAATAAGCAAAGGCATTTTTTTCGTGTTAACACCTAT